TGAGCTATGAGAGCTTTCGTGAGTTATTTACATTTTTTGCCGAGTTTTATCTACAGTTGAGCTATGAGAGGGTTGTATCCAACAGTTGTTTTTGTTTTTTAGAAAGAGATTTTAAGTTTAAATTAGTTTGCTACCTCGATAAAATAGAAGCGTAAACGTTAAAGACAAGAGTGCCTTTTGTTACTAGTGTGGAAAGTGATCACTTCTAGATTTGGATGACAAAAGTATAAAGAACAACATCAGTTATATTCGCTTAACAAAGTAATCTTGAAAGTTATTCTTCTGTATCTTTTTGCCTGTGTGTGCACATCTCTATCTTGCTGCCGTTGTCATGGAAACGGCCCCCTCCTTCGCTGCTCTGGCTCTCAAATGCAGAGCAAAGCTATTGCATTAGGAATTTGGCTTTTCATAGTTTTTATTCCGTTAAATTTGCGAAATTTGCCATTGAACATTGTGTTATGACACAGTTAAACGTTTTTAAACACCATTAGTGAATAAGTTTTGAATTAGTATGTTTTTGAAACCCAAATATTAGTGCTAAAAGCTGTGCAATTCTTTTTAGACCTAACATATTTCTAGATTCCATTCTTTTTAAATCTGCTGCTTATTTTGTGAGTCCATTATTGCATCTTTGATATATTTCATAGCTGTTAGTGAGAATTTTTTCATGTATTTTTTATTTTAGTTACAAAAGCCGTTTTTCAAACATTTAAATTAGAATCTGTGTTAAAAGTGATTATTGATTATAGACTTCGTCTAAAAAAGAAAGAGGGAATTAGGCTGTAAAAGTATTATTAAGTTAAACTACCCAATTCACATTCAAGTGGTGACTTTTGTTTTTGTTTTGACTACACGCGTGACCTTGCTGCTGCTCAGAGACATGAGGAGGCAGCTCCGACGCACAATTGAGTTTTATTGAACCAAATCCAGTTTAGCTGGAGCTAAATCTTTTGTTTGATTTCAAGTTTTGTTTTAAATGTTTTTACAAATTAATGTTCATTTTTATAGAGATTTTTCATAATTTCATTTCATGGCGTCTTTCAAGAAACCCAAGGACGCATAGATAATTAAACACAGTACAAAAGTACATAATACATATTTTAAAGTTTAAAGGTTTTTTGAGATTTGAGTCTTGTTTTTTATATTGAGAGTTTCTGGTTTTAAAATGTCATCATTAGTAAGATAATAAGTAATCTTTTATTTACATAGCGCTTGGGAAAACCCAGAGCGCTCCAAAATTGTTTTGACTTTAGGGAGAAAAACAATCTCATTCACAATCTCTGTTGTTTTTAAATTGGCCGTCTCAAGGATTGTTTTTCAGACTCTGCCTCACTGTACGAGAGGTCACTGCTGGACACTGGACACCAAAGCCCACCCAGCCACAGGTCACAGATCAAAGAGCAAAGGGAAATGCCACCTCCTTGCCCCTCCCCCCACTACAGAAGTAAGTGGGAGTGAGACCGGGGCCACAAAGTGGAGGTTTCTGGAGACGTGATGGGTGGAGCATCAGGGAGAGACCTGAATGAGAGTTGAGAGTGTGTCCAGTTGGTTTACATCACCACAGTGTGACCTTTGAGACCTACAGGTGGTTCGAGGAGTCTGGAGAAACAACCCCAAAATTTACATACACACACATACACACACACACATACACTCACACATTCACATTTACATATAGATACATGAAAAAGCAGAACATGAGAAAAAAGCATTAAAAGTTTACTCCAATGTAAACACATATTTTTAATTGTCTATCACTTGAATCTTTATTTGAATCTGTATTTTTTGAGACCAGAAATGTTCATTTGAATTCTATATTGTCATGGACTAATTGACCTCTGTCCTGACACTTTTGATTTGTTGATTTTGTACTGTGTGAAGTAATTACATTGATTAGAATTAGATCTGATAAAAACACAAATTAGAGAAGTAAACTGAATCATTGCGCTTGCTTTTTGTCTGAGGGACATTAGCAACAGCATGAATAGAAATTGATTAGGAGTAGAATCAAAGTGACTTTAACCATAGAGAGTAACTACTGCATAACAAGCTGTGTACAGGAACTGAGACACTGCACCATTGACCAGAAGTGCATCGCAAGTGACCTGATGTGCTTCGAGTGAAAAGACTGTATCTGGAGATCCTGATGTGCATCTGGAGTGACCAAAACCATGGCTTGGACCCTACTGATGACCAAGATGACATCTCTCTATGACTGACCTGATGGCGACTGAGACTCACCCTCAGGGGACCCTGAGGACCTGAGGACCTGAGGACCTGAGGACCTGAGGACCTGAGAGAGAAAAACTGGGGAGTGATGTTTATATTTTTGAAATCATACATTGATGAGTGCTAAATGAGAGAGATACTCATGATTCTTTCTTTTGTTTTTGTTTGTCCCTAGCTTCTGGACATCTGATGATCTATTGGACACAGCGATTTGCAGAACAAGAACCAGCCAATGAAAACGTCTATTGCCGATGCTATTGCTACAACCAGAACCTGTGACCAAATGCAATATACATGTTAAGTATTCAGACATCTGACAGACAAAAACTTTGAAAATGATAAAGTATGAGTATTGTAGCGTTTTAGTAGATGTTAAATAGTAGTAAAAGAGTAGAATTGTCCTTCCTTTGTTTTTCATAAACACATTTCCACATAAGAGTTAAAATAGTACCCTACAATGTTATCCTTTTGATAGATCAGCTATAATATTAGAATCAGAAAAAGGTTAGAGATATTAAAAGTGACAGAAGTCACAAATTAGAAATATGCCTTGGCTCAAGCTGCAACCGAGCTTTAGAGCCACAATAGTGTAGAAATAGATGCATCAACCATAGATGCTTTCAAAAATAGAGATTATTTGTAGCCATTGCTAATATCAAATGGTAAAGGGACCATTTCACAAGCATTTACTTCAGAAGTAAATCAAGTTAATTACAGTTTATGTACAGTTTTATTAGATACTTGCCAAATTCACTTGTTTTCAAACATCTGTGAATGTTGACTATACAAAAAGTCCATATGAGTGTAGCCTAGATTAATGCCTAGATCAATGAGATAGATTAGAACCAACAGAGATTCAAAAGCATTTAAAAGCATTTTGATGTATTTGTGTATAGCACAAAAACACAATAGTAGATATTTAGATATTTGGATATCTTTGAGAAGTTTAAAAAGCTGTAGATTCATCAGCATAGATTAAAATCAGAATTCAAACCCCATTGTAGAATAACTGACCCCAACCCCAAACATAATTAGCTACTATTAGGATAATACTAATTTGATTAATGATGTACATTCATCCCAAACTGCCTGACAATAATATCTTTAGATAATAAAAAGTAATAAATCACTGACCACTATAGAAGTGTAAATGTTGACCATTTGCCTTACTGTGTTCACAGTTTTATTCCTTAGAATGTAGAATAGACATGGAGCAAAATCCCACTGATAATAAGCCACTGATAATGAGAGTGTAATACCACAGAGAGATTTATTAGATTAAAATGTATGTTTAAGAATATGGCTCAATAGAAGCAAATATGCAAACATATTTGTAAATAGATTAGAATAGTTTTAAACTATAGTGAATAGTAAAAGTAAAGTACACAGTCTAAGATTGAAAAGTGAAAACAATACAGTGGAGTGTAGTGTAAACAATTAGCATTAGAATAAAAGTATAGAGTAAGAAAAGTGAAATTAGCTTCTAATTTGAGACTCAGCTCGTTTTTGTCTGTGTTTTGACTGAATCTGCTGAGTTCTTGTGTGTCCAATAGTTTTTGTTTGTTTTTATTTTTGTTTGTTTTTATTTTTGATTTGTTTTTGTTTGTTTATTTTTCCCAGGATAGAGGATAAAATCCACTGATATTGATTTGATGATTATGAGTTTAATGCATACATTTTCTTTGTTTTTTTAAATAATTTTGTAAAGTTTTTTTTTTAGAATTTTTTTTTTTTTTTTCTTTTTCCACTTTATTGATTGATCGATTTGAGTGATCACATGTGATTATGTGATCAAAGGGGAGGGTGTTAGTATTAGATAGCAATATGGCCTACGTGCAGGACTGTACAAGGACTCTACAAGGACTCCATGTTATGACTATGATGTGACTGTCTCTTTGTGACACGTATGTCTTTCCATGTGTGACGTGACAATGACTATATAAACTGTGTACTGCCTTTATTCTGTCTGGGAGAAAGAAACAGAGTAAACCAGTGGAACTTGAGAGAAACTTAAATAAACTTCCAGAGTTTGGCACACCACGATCCGTCTCTGTCTGCTTAAATCCTAACAAAACCTGATGTACAGATTTATTTGTCGACTGAATCAAAGTCAGAATGTGATCATAATGAGCCTGACCAACATCAGAATCAGTGCCACACGCTATCAGTCTGAACTGTGGCGTCACTGGTACAGTAGTCTGCTGTAATCATGTATGCTTATCTTTATGATTATTGTTGTTTTTGTTTCTGTGTAATGTCTTTCTTATCTGGACTTCGTGTCTGTAATAAAGTTTAATAATTTATTATCAGGACGTTTTTTATTAAAATTTGGATTTGTAATTTGTCCTGAAGTCCTATCACATTAGTCCTGGTCTCAGGTCTCTGCATTGTTTCCTGTGGCTCAGAAACTAGACTTTAAGGCAGCTCTACTTGTAAACGAGTCTAAACATGGCCTCGCATCAAAGTACATTTGGGACAAGTTAGTGCGGTATGAACTAACTTCCACTCTGTGGAGCACAAGGACTGGCCTACTGGGACCCAGACCCAGAACTAAACCTGGGGAAGCATTCAAATACATTTAAGCAGATACATTCTAGAACAGTGTTTCTGAAAATGAGAGGCAGGCTTCGACTCTGACAACGTTCAAATCCATCTGTTTCGCTAAAACAACTTCTTTCTTTTTTCACACTTTGAGTGCCTTGTGAATGAATTGAACACAAATAAACTTTCCTGACATGTGAAATCCTGATCCTGTCAGGAAGGCATCTCCAATGCAGATGCACACATTCCTGTGCAGGATGTGTAGTTGAATGGTGGTGGTTGGAGGAGCCGATGGCACCGATGTGTAGGCTCGCTTCTTCCAGTCAGTCTCAGGACAGCTGTGGCAACAATTGGGGTCTGAATGAATAAAGCCATGTCTTTGCGTGCCCAGAGGAGAGCTACATAAAACGCGATGCATTTTTGTTCAATTATACTAAAGCTATTCTCCTGATGTATTGTATCCTTGTTTTTCTCTGAATACCTGGCAACCCTGTCTCAGCGATTGTGTGTGAGTGCTGGCCGCCTATAATCTCTCTGACACTTGTGTGTGCGTACGTGCGTGTATGTGTGTGCGCGCACGCGCGTGTCCGTGTGTCTGTGTGTGCGTGAGTGTGAGTGTGTGTATGTGTGTGTGTGTGTGTGTGTGTGTGTGTGTGTGTGTGTCTGTGTGTGTGTCTGTGTGTGTGTGTCTGTGTGTCTGTGTGTGTGTGTGTGTGTGTAGATCTGCCTCCCCGTACGGACTCGGGATACGGGACACGGGACGGGAGCGAGCGGGCGGCCGTGTGGAGGCCTCTCTCATACGGTACCCACGGGATTATCAACGCGGAGAACCAGGTACAGGTCAGATATATTCACGCCATTCTATCCCGAAAGTGCATCTGACTGTGGGGAGGACAGACAGAGAAAGGGCCCGGGCCATGGACCGGGCGCCTCTTTGTGCAGAGAAATGTGGACCACCGCTGGTACCTTCTTTTTCCCCACAGCACACCGCATCTCTTTGCTTTGTTGGCAAATATGACTGCCTGGCAATGTACTATCTCAGTTTCTGGTTTTTATTCGAAAAAGCTTTAGTGACATGAACAGCTACATTTGGTCATGGTTAGTTCGGCTAATCCTAGAGACAAAATTGCGTCGGGGCAAAAAGGACTCGTCTTCCAGTGTTCTGCATCGAAACCACCTGGCTGTTGTTTTTGCTGCCGCTGCTGTAAGCTAAAGCGTTTTCTTTCTTCCCCGTTTTCCCAAAAAGTCAATCTCTGTTCGTTTTCTGGTTGGTTTGAATCGTGGGCCTCCCCATGTGTCGTCTTTAATCCATCTTTTAAATGCCCCTCGGCGCTAGCGACATCATGGCATTTCAGTTAGCTAGCCTGATGTTACTCACGAAATTCATTGCTATATGAATGATTTTCAGAGATTATTGGTGTTGACTTATAACTGCTTATTTTTTACAGATGTTAGTTTTGTTTTGGTTTGTATATGTTTACTTTTTGAGGTTTTGCACAGCTACATACAGTACAAACATGGCGGATTTCCATGGTTACGATAGTCTATCCGGAGTTCTGCTTTGGACTTTAGCTAGCTCCTCGTGAATATATTGTTATTACACAGGCACATATTTTGTTGATTTGTGCAAAACTATTGTCTTCTATATTATCACAGTAAACTCACTGACCACTCTGACTCTTAACCGAACCATTTTAGATGGTATCCGGGTTTAAGCCCCACTCTCCCACGGATGTGGTACAGCATCCTAGCAACCTACCCATAACAATCCAGTATTCAGGGAATTGGTTAATTGGTAACCATTGCCTCCAACAGCAATCCGGCCAATCACTGTTTAAGTACCAGATCAGCCTGGATAGAATTGATTCAACAGGGCCGGAGGAAATGCCCAGTGGGGTAGACGTGGGTCAACATGGTCTGGTAGAAACAGTTTTCATGTTGTTTTATAACACCAACAGCTGATGGAACACATAACTTGAGTAAAGTTAACTTTTTTTTTACTGGACACAGCAAAAGTTAACAAGGTGTTTAAACACACTGGTGGATCAGAGCACTCTGGGAAATCCAAACTATTTTGAGAATTACATTCTACTAAACTTGAATGGAGTTACAATAATATGTCCATAAACTGATTCATTCATTTCCATCCCTTAATTATCCACTTCTGGGTCAGGGGGTGGCAATCAGAGGTGCAACCCAAATGTCCATAAACTCTATGTCCATAAATCCTAATCACATCCTGTGTCGGCTCTCTCTACTGTTCACATAAATGCACTGATAGCAGGAATGTGTGCTACGGCATCTGCTTTGAAAATTAACAGTTGTTGGAGCTGTGTTTCTCTTCCTTCTCCCCAGGGGGCGCTCTAACAGCATTAAAATGGTACTTTGGCAGCAGGTCTCAAAGAGCTCTATGGTCCCTCAAGTAGTGTAGTTTAGACTGCCTTTGTCACGTGTAATCTCAAATGAACCCAGACAAAGCTGAAGGATATGAATATGTTTATCATTACCACACATAATTCCTGAATGTTTTCATGGCACTGCTCTCCTTGAGTCACACCTCTCGGCATGTTGTGTGCATGTATAGCATCCATCCATCCATTTTCTTCCCCTTGATCCATTTCTGGGTCGGGGGGGTGGCAGTCAGATCTGCACCCAGTACACAGAGCACCAGCCCCTCACTGATCCTCCTGCAGGTGGTAAGTCCACATGCAGTGTATATAGCAATTCATTACTAATTTATGTGTATGTTTTAATCTAAACCTAATAGGTGAGATTTGAGTATGAGTAGTATGAGCCAGAAGTATTAAAGCACAGTCAAATAAAGACAATGACCGCATTAAAATCCAGTGATACCAGAGCACAATAATACAATAACTGTTTTGACAGTGGTCATTCTGCTCCCTATGGCTCCATTATGTTTTATATTATTGCATTATCTCTGTTTTAACTCTTTGATTCTCTTTCTGGCATCTCCTTGGTTGTTGTTCTCAGGTCTCTCTGGTCTCTGATCTGTTGACAAAACAACTTTGTTAAGTCCTCCGAGATGACTGATGTTGTGGTTTAGAGCTGCATAAAAACATTGAATAGGATTGAATTGAATCTAGTCCAATTTAGTTTTTTCACCTTGTACATCATGTAAACCAAAAAGTCAGTGCAATTTCTCTGATTGCTCCTTGGTTACTCAGGGCCCACGATGTCGAGTGAAGTGCAGCGAGCAGACGACAGCCCCAGCACCAGTGGAGGCAGCTCTGACATCGAGCAGAGGGAGCCAGCGCCGCCTGAACAGGACCAGGAGTCCACACAACCCAAGAAAAAGGAGACCAAGATCTCCAGCAAGACCGCTGCCAAGCTGTCCACCAGTGCCAAGAGGTACCTGATGCTACTTTTATAATGACACCATAAACAAGTGGTTATTCAAATAAAGCTATTAAAGGTTAGAGATGTTGTGTCTCAGTAAGAATGTCCTGGATATGACTCTTGGGCGTAGGGGGCTTTCTGTGTGGACTTTGCACGTTCTCCCTGTGTCTGCCTAGGATTCCTCTTAGGAGCTTCACTTTCACAAATCTAGAAAAAGACAAAAGAAATACTGGGTGCCAAAGAGGTAGCCTACAAATAAGATTTACAATAGAAGAACCAATGATAACATTTATTTTGGTTCACACACCACTCTTCTGGCTGGGAATGACACGTGCACTGGCTGCCTCTAGAATTACTACGTCAATGTGTCGTATTAGTTTTACAGCTATCAGAAGAACATTTTTGTGGCTCTCTCTGGTCTTCCCGTAGTCCTCAGTCCAGTTCCTTAGTGCAATGTGAGGTGATATTAATCCATACTAATTGTGTATTGATTTAGTGCTTGTATGATATCTTTCGTAGGATACAGAAGGAGCTGGCAGAGATCCACCCTCGACCCTCCTCCAAACTGCAGGTGAGCTCTCTTCTCTGGTGGGAAACTATATTGAAGACCCTACTGGTGATTGAAAGAATACATACAACTGAATGTTTTCAAAGGAGACATAAAGTAAAAAACTTAGAGGCTTAGGAACATTGAGTCACCTGCTGAAATATGTTTGAGACAAACGGAAAGTGTTGGAGTCTGTGCAATTTAATGATATGATTAGAACAGTTTGGGTCGCTCCTGTGTAAAGCTAACCTTAAAGCTTACCTTAAAGGTACTTTCTACTTTTGCTCTAAATGAAGATGTAAACTAAAAACAAATGTGACATTTTTGAGAATATTCACCTCCACCATTGTTTTTTAATTTCTGTCATAGACTGTGAATTTGACTTATAAATGTACATAGTAATAATAATAATACATTGTACTTATATAGCGCTTTTTTGGACACTCAAAGACGCTTTCCAGAAGAAAAATAAGAAACAAAAAATAAAAAGCTGAAAAAACATGAGAGTGGAGTCCTCTCCAGGTCAACGCACCAACTTTAAATACATGGTTGATAAAGGGCTAAAAGAATGCGTTTCACAGGCGCTACTGATATCCACTGTGCCCTGACAAGTTTAAAAAAGGGATCATGGAAGACCACAGTTTTGTAAAAGAACTACCCAAACAAGAATCTTTGCGAAAAATAATGATTTAAAAATCATTCTTTTTGCATCATAACAGCAAACTGTCAACATCGCAAGCACATGGACCAAAAGGCTTTAGAACAACAGGAGGCATATTGTGTAGTTTGTACCCAACAGACTCACACATGAACCATTTGTAACTTTCTTCACACCAACAGTGACTTTCTTCACACCGACAGTAATGAGAATCTGCAACACGGGTCTCAGGATGTTCTGACCCGCTCCGAGCTTAGTCAAACTACTATGTCCACAAGTTTCAACAAAACACATTCAAGGAAAAGCGTCAAATATGTAACACACACAGAATCCCTGCAAAACAATCGCCAGAGTACGCGGTACTTACATGGTGATGCAGACACAGCGCTGTAGTGAAAGTTTAAATTTTTTTTGCCACAGTTCTGCGGTGGCTGTGTATATGCCCATGTCCGAGGCAATGTCCTGGCTTTTCTGATCATCATGGTTTTAAGTTCCCACAGGCGTCTTATTCCTCCTCATATCTCTTATCTTAGCACTGCGTTTGTAAAAGCCCAGAGCCCCTGTGCAGCGCGGTCTTGTTTACATTTCAGCCTCTGCGCATGTGCGGTGGAGGCACATTTGTTTACATTATAGCACGACCGTGTCAAAGACTTTGGGGAGATTTATCAAACTAAAGGATAATCTGGTGAAGTTCGTGGGTTCGAGCCCACCTTGAGACCTACTTCACAACTCCCACTGATGATTGCTGTCTGTGTCCTTGGACAAGATACGTAACCCCACTTTGCCTGAAGCCCCTGCTGAATAATCAAGGCTCCTGTGGACTTACCACCTGCAGGAGGATCAGTGAGGGGCTGTTGGTCTGTGTCCTGGGTGTAGCTCTGACTGCCACCCCCCAAACCCAGAAATGGATTAAGGGGAAGAAAATGGATGGATGGAAGGAAAATCTCCTTCGCCCCATTTTGAATGACTAAGAGTTGGGGACCATTGTCAAAGACGCCATATTGTCCTTTGCAGCACTGTTATACCAAGTGACTGCAATGTATGGTCTCAACGCTAGATGCGAGTAAAAATACCCTGTGTACCTTAACCCTCTCTTTGTGGAGATGAGTCGGGGTCATCACAGGGTTTTACATTTTAAAGACGGAAAAGAGTAGTACACAGGCATAGACTTTAGAAATGTCTAAAGCAAGATGGAGCAAGTGGTCAGAACGGGAGCAGTCAGAGTAGAAGAGGAAAAAATGCTCTGTATGTATGAAGAAAAGTTGTTATAGCATCCAAGTGTTGTGTTTGAAGAGTTACAAATGTGTTTGTGTGTTTGCAGCGCTGGTCCTAAAGGAGACAACATCTATGAGTGGAGGTCCACCATCCTGGGCCCTCCTGGCTCTGTATATGAGGGAGGAGTCTTCTTCCTGGACATCGCCTTCACCCCAGACTACCCCTTCAAACCTCCAAAGGTCAGTCCCCAACGTGTGTGTTTATATGTTGTTTTTATTATATACTCAGCCTTCACTTTCTGCAGCAGATTGTTGGGGGTAGTTTGACCTCAAGAGACAATCACAGGCTGATGAGGAGCTTTGAGGTCTCTGTGGGTTCTGTGATCATCTCTGGGGGAGCTATGAGGTCTGTGGTCTCTGTGCCGGAGAGAAGGTTTCTGAGTAACTCCAGATACCTTGTGGTTGCTCAGGAGTAACCGTAGCAACAGCCTCCTCTCTGTGGTGCAGAAAGTATTGCATACTATTGTTAGTGACTTTGAATATTCTTTAAACAGTGAAACTTTCAGTAATAGCTGTTTTGTTGTTTTCCAGCGGACCCTCTGGTCGGGAGCATCGCCACACAGTATCTGACCAACAGAACGGAACACGACAGAATAGCCAAACAGTGGACCAAGAGATACGCCACATAGACCCTAACCCTCTGGCCCCTTTCTGACCCTGACCCTCTCAAGCAGGAGTGTCAAACCAGTCCTCAAAGAGCCAGTGTATCTCCATGTTTTCATTCCAACCAAGCATGAGCACACCAGACCCATTTCCACAAGTGAGTCCAGTCTGAACCTAAAGACTTGAGGAAAATGGTGGAGTTTGGCCTCTCTCTGGCCCCTCTCTGGCCTCTCTCTGGCCCCTCTCTGGCCTCTCTCTGGCCCCTCTCTGGCCTCTCTGGCCCCTCTCTGGCCTCTCTCTGGCCTCTCTGGCCTCTCTCTGGCCCCTCTCTGGCCTCTCTGGCCTCTCTCTGGCCCCTCTCTGGCCCCTCTCTGGCCTCTCTCTGGCTCCTCTCTGGCCTCTCTCTGGCCTCTCTCTGGCCCCTCTCTGGCCTCTCTCTGGCCTCTCTCTGGCCCCTCTCTGGCCCCTCTCTGGCCTCTCTCTGGCCTCTCTCTGGCCCCTCTCTGGCCTCTCTCTGGCCTCGTCTCTGGCCCCTCTCTGGCCTCTCTCTGGCCTCTCTCTGGCCCCTCTCTGGCCTCTCTCTGGCCCCTCTCTGGCCTCTCTCTGGCCTCTCTCTGGCCTCTCTCTGGCCTCTCTCTGGCCCCTCTCTGGCCTCTCTCTGGCCCCTCTCTGGCCCCTCTCTGGCCTCTCTCTGGCCTCTCTCTGGCCCCTCTCTGGCCTCTCTCTGGCCTCTCTCTGGCCCCTCTCTGGCCTCTCTCTGGCCTCTCTCTGGCCCCTCTCTGGCCTCTCTCTGGCCCCTCTCTGGCCTCTCTCTGGCCTCTCTCTGGCCTCTCTCTGGCCTCTCTCTGGCCCCTCTCTGGCCTCTCTCTGGCCCCTCTCTGGCCCCTCTCTGGCCTCTCTCTGGCCCCTCTCTGGCCTCTCTGGCCCCTCTCTGGCCTCTCTCTGGCCTCTCTGGCCTCTCTCTGGCCCCTCTCTGGCCTCTCTGGCCTCTCTCTGGCCCCTCTCTGGCCCCTCTCTGGCCTCTCTCTGACTCCTCTCTGGCCTCTCTCTGGCCTCTCTCTGGCCCCTCTCTGGCCTCTCTCTGGCCTCTCTCTGGCCCCTCTCTGGCCCCTCTCTGGCCTCTCTCTGGCCCCTCTCTGGCCCCTCTCTGGCTCCTCTCTCTGGCCTCTCTCTGGCCTCTCTGGCCCCTCTCTGGCCTCTCTCTGGCCTCTCTCTGGCCCTCTCTGGCCCCTCTCTGGCCTCTCTCTGGCCTCTCTCTGGCCCTCTCTGGCCTCTCTCCGGTAAGGCAGGAAAAATCTATACACAGGATACAGTGAATCAGTAAAACACTGCAGATGATCCTGCAGATATCATGGTTGAATAAAGTCAATCATGAAAAGCCATCAAAGTACAAAAAACATTTTGTTTATAACCGCAAGTCCATTTCAAAAAGAGTGTAAAATTAAATACTTTAAACTCCCACCCTCCATTTAATCATTCTAAATTAACTTAAATAGTGGTGTTGCTACATCTTAGCTATTTTATTCAAGTGTATATACAGTTAGCAACAGTGACATCACAATAACATCACTTGATTTTTTTATGTATACCAAATGCTATAGATAAATAATATTTCCTTAATCTTCCTTGTACGTCTTCAGTATCACAAACCCCCTATACTAATCCTAAAGTTATAATCATCTAATATATATATATATATATATATTATATATATAGATATATATATAAAGTGCACATGTATATACGTTGTTATATATGTTTAAATATGTTATAAATTGGTGCTGACAAGCTCTAATGTGGTGTAAAAGTCAAACTTACAACAGTAAGTTAACAATATTATAAATACATCTGACATTCCCCTACCTTTTTCTGATTATTTACAATGAAAAAACTTATTCCTAAATTAAGAGCATATTAGTTTGTCCATTAGAGGATCCTTAGTTCCCATGATCAAAAATATGTTTCTCTAACTTTTAGGATCAACCAATCACAGCGTCGAAATGATGACTCATACCTAGCAACTGGGTCTCCACTCCCTCCTCACTAAGAAAAAAAGTTGTTGTCAATTCCTTGCTCAATTCTCTAAGAGTGTTCTGGAATAAATTTTTAAACTAAGACACCTAGCAGGATTTTTAGTTAAGATCGAGCTCTCTGAGAGGACTCTTAGATCTTTAGGAATACCCCCAGTGTGTACTCTACAAATAATTAGTGTGTAATCATAAGGGTGAAGAGACCTTTCTGGTCTGTAAAGACGCTTTAAGCCGCAATACACCTGTTTTTTTTTTTTCCCCCGTGTGGCTAAGAGGCGGTCAATCACACCCAAGACCACGCCCAACCTCTAAGCCCCCTTCTATCCCTGTCCCCAGCAAACGCCCTTTTAAAAGAAAATTATCAATGTTCATGTGCGAGGCTGGTCACAGGTTTTAGTCGCGCTTTAACTTATTCTACAGAAGCAAGTCAATTTAGAAATTCATCTGTCTTCTTCAGTACTATTTGACTCTTCTATACCCAATAGAGGAAAATTAGCAATGGCTGGTTTAGAAGAACCAAATACCTTTAAAGCATATATAGTTGATTATATGGAAAAACAAGCCACCTGAGGAACCCAACAGAAATGTGAAACACCATACACAGAAAATGCCCGGTCCAGGCCGAGAGATTGAGTCCTGCACATAATGTGCATGCAAAACAATTGACTATTGTAATAAATGGTTGGTGCCATCAACAATAAACTACTGTGAGCCAGTCAGTTTAATCAAATATATTGTCAAACCTACAATATAAAGCAAAATAAAAGTAGTTACAATAACAATGATCTCCTATTTACTGCAATTGTCAGATGCTGATCTAGTTACCTTTTATTAGCAGCATCAATCATTTAGAAACCATCTCATTAGTGCGTACCTATAACTTACTTTATATACGCTCCTCACCAGCAGCATAGAATGCTCCAATTGATTTGAATGTAATTTCAAAACGTTCTAACTACCGTCATTAGTTTCTATAACGACCTCTCATACATAATACCGCTGCCCATAGGCAACCGCACTCGCTGCTTGTTCCCTTTTTTTTTTTTCAATTCGTGATAACACCCAAGTAGTTTCCGGCCACTCCGGAATAAGCCACACTCAATCAACACTCTTAAAAAGTTAATCAGAGAATACACTTTATACATATACATCTTACACACTGCGCGAAATTTTAGAATTTCTGTCCCTTGTCTTCATGACAAAAAATACTATATCTCTGCGTCAAAAAACGAATCAGTCGAAAAAAACCCGAAGTAGTTCCCCGCTCATAAAACCGCAAATGCCAATCAATCAACGCAATGAAATGTTAAACGGAGAGTAATTTATACCATATCCAGTCTAATACAATCATGGAATTTTCAGAATTCCGTTTGACCGTTTTTCAGACAAAAAACACTGATGAATCGAAAAAAGGCGATCCCGAAAAACCCAGATAGATAACCGACACATTTTCTGACACATTTTCAGAGATCGAATTATGGATTTAGGTTAGGTTTATTATGGTCACATCACCGCTATGTTCAACATTCTTTGTTCAGTTTCATGCAGTTCCAGGAGTTCTAGATGGAAGTGCCAGCCCTAACTGTTCACTAGCAATAGCCACGGGAAAAACCCTTGGGAACAATTTTATTTTCATTTTCAATAACTAAACCATTCGCATTCCAAAAGTCGACTAAGTTATGTGGTGGTTTCTGTAGGAAATTAAGCCGTATAATAAGCGGATAACGATATTACGCAGGTCATTATCGAAAATAATACCTTCAGGCGAGCAAACCTCCGCTGCGCGCCGGTACCTCCCCTTCGTACTTATTTTCCGATAATGAACCCTCTATTAAAACTATCCCTTACATATTTGAGAGTATACAGTATTCCACAATGCAATTACCCCGCATTATAAACTTTACCGAAAAGCTAAAAGAGTAAATTCCCCTCCACCACCTGAGACTCGTTTATGCATGAAGTTTGATATTCACTCCCACTCCTGTGAAAACCCGGTTAAATAACAAGTATAACATTTTTGAATAGAAAATTACCAAATGAATTAGCGGAAAATTGGCTGAAGTGTAATTGAAGCAAAATTGTTTTTGCTACAAAGCCACCTCCCATGCAGCCCCGAGGTGGATCCGCAGACCGACTGGATTTAAACACACAACATATACAATTCAAACCAATCTTACATTACATACACACCACATGAGACAAATGGTAGCACCTAGCACTGTTACAGCCAGATCTGGGAATATCACCACACTTTCAGAGTAACTGTAGCATGGTTTTGTTTACCTATTGTAACATAATACCTTTTTCCCATGGCATGATAATTGTTTCATTTATTTTCGCAATATAAATTATAAACAAGTCAAAATCTTCATTCCAATTATAAGTCATTTCACTTTTTACACAAAAGTGCTATCCATCAGCACAATCTTAGTTTTTGCGCTGTTCAAAGATCATCCTGCATAATAACCCACATCCACATTAAAAGCCTATCTACACCTACTTGCCTCCTCCATGCGTCACGTAACAAGAATCAATAAAACTGACCCGTCTGACCACTCAAATGCAGCCGTGGTTAATGCAAAGATCTGACTACAGATTTTCTCATTGACTTTTTTCTACAGGTTTTTCAGTCGGGTATACGGGTTTATGAAGACACCAACAACCTTTGTACAATATTTTATCACGATTATGGCTGTCAAACAATTACATTTTTTTATTGATATAATTACAGCATAATTAATTGCATATCAATAAAATTATCCATATTTTTTCTGTAAAATGGATGTTTGAATGACGAGATAAATACAACAAGTCCGGTGTACTGTACATATGTACTGTAATTGTTTTATTATAGCAAACAATAAAACCACATACATAAATGCATTATCATTATTAACATTATGTTTCTTTTCTGTATAGACACTATTGTTTCGCTCGACATAGTCCCTTCAGCTTAAGCCACCTCTTTCTTCTTTTCTCTGTCCAAAAGCGTGGAAAATAGTACCCCACGCTTTAACGTAGA